CATTGCTATTTGAGTCTTACCAGAGTAATGTTAGTTGATGTGCCCACCTCTTAGAAGGGGGTGAATAAGGTGGGGAAAATTTTCTGGATTTTATTAGAATCGGTGTTGGCAAATACAGAAGCAATAAATAAAGCACAAAATTAAAAGCATAAATAAATGACACACCAATTTTAGACTAGTTCGGGAACTCCCTACTTCATTACCTTAATGCTCCTTCTTAAGGATATCTAAACCCACTAAGCCTTGGTCTCTTGGACTCTGTCAAAGCATCACACTAGTTTGGTAAATAACCTTTGCCAATAGGATTCAACTCCAAGATTTTATAGCAACTATATTAAACCGTCACGGCTATCTTCAACAGTTTCCCCCAAGGTTTTGAATGCTATCCTCGAACCTTTTCCCTAGGATTTTTAGGATATCCTTAATCGTTACAACAATGAATTTAACGGCTATTCTCAACTGTAAAAAGGTGTGTTAGAAGAACACAAAACTAGGTTCTACATAGCGGTTTGATCACAAATATGAAGAACAAAACATAGTCAGTGTAGAACCAAAAAATATATATACTCTCTAAAAGATACAATATAAACATATAGATATAAGAGTATATAACTAAATCACAAGCTCAAACTGTGTGTATAAAAATTAGGAGAATAAGGCTCTTAAAATAGCCAAAATAATAAGAACGAAGAATTTAGGAAGGATTTTGACTAACTAATGGTGATTAGATTTGAAATTCAGAATTTAAAATTTCTCCAACAGTACGGTATCATAGTACCGGCCCAACGGAATCTAGGTACGAGATGCGTGGCAGTAGATGGGTACTAGCCTTGATGTTCACTCAGTACCGGGTAAGTTCATTTTGCACTGGTGGAACTTGTACTAGGTGATATCTGGGTACCGTTACAGCGGTATTAGGCTACAGTGTCAGGTACTGACATGGTTTTTTAAAATTTATTTAATCCTTTTCGTTTGAGTTTAAAATCTTTGAGATTTTTGAAAGTGATTATTCGATGGTTTTAAACATATTTTGTGAGTGCATTTGAGCTTGTGAATATAGGTATATAATAACATTCATATCCTTACATTGTTTCTACCTATATTCTATGTTTGTTTGGTATTTCAACTTCGTTTTTTAGACCCGAATCTTAATGGATTCTTGTTGTACGTGAAGCACTCATACAAACTTTAGCTCATATATTGTTTGTTAACATTAAAACACGAGATTTAGCAAACCAAGGCTAACAAATAAACTATAGGGACAGTGCATACTCTCACCCCAACCTTGCATTTGTATGATATTGTTCGTTTTGGATCAAGCCCTCACAAATTTATTTTGAGACGCATCCCAAAAGGCCTCCAACTTCTGACCTCCCCTCCTCCTTCGGTCTTGTTCCCATTGTTAATAACACCAAGCGATTTTTTTTAATGTGAAATGACTAAATTTGATTTCAAACAATTAATAATTCAATTTTGGACCAAAAAGACATATAATTCAATTTATTAGAAAAAATAAAAAAAATACTTGGATGGCTGTTGCTTTATGGCGGCTATCGCGGAATTACGGTGTCGCCTGCCTACTTCAGTGCAGTCGCTGAGAAGATGAGGAGGGTCTAACAACTCAGAGTTGACTAGGGTGACTGAGTGACTAAGAGATGGACGCGAGGTCGCAACTCGTAAGAGCACTGGAAATGGTCATGAAGCCCCGGGGCTTCAAACTCTCTCTCTCTGCCACGTCAGCTTTAACTTATACCAAAAATTCACTGGAAATGGTTTTGAAGCCCCGGGGCTTCAAACTGTGGCTTCAAACCTTCATTTTTTACATTTTTAAATATACATCTTCTAAATTTAAATTAATAAATTTAAATTAATTTATTATTTTAATTAATCGCAATGACACTAGTGCATTAAAAAAATTAAATTCATTATAAAAAAATCTTACATTCATAAAAAAACATTCAAAAAAATTACATTCATTATATTAAAAAAAATATTACATAAAAAAACAACAGTACAAAGAAATCACTAATTATTCGAACGACTAAAGATATGCTCGATCAAATCCGCCGTTAGTGCATTGTGAATCTCTCGGCTTCGAATTTCTTGTCGGTTGCGTCGTTTCTTTTCTTCGGTGATTTCTTCGTACATAAACACCTCCTCGTCCGAGTTGTATTGACAAATCGCAGACCCGTTATCCTCTATGATCATATTATGAAGAATAATACATGCGTACATGATATTCCTCATTTTTGTCTGAGAATAACATTTCAACGGACAATCTAGAATATGCCACTTAGCCTTCAAGACCCCAAAGGCTCGTTCAATATCTTTTCTCGCTGCCTCGAGCTTTTTTATAGGTCTGGCGTTTAAGACCCATTGGTTCGGCGAGGGATTTGACATTCATGGAATAATCCGGATATATTCCATCGGCCAAATAATATCCACGCTTGTAAAGCATTCCTCTAAGCTCAAAAGAGGAGTCCGGAGCGGTCTCATTAACCCAATCGTCAAAAACAGGCGATTGATCGAGAACGTTGATGTCGTTGTTCGAGCCCGCGGCACCGAAAAAAGCATGCCAAATCCACGAGTCATTCGAAGCAACAGCTTTGAGCATGATGGTAGGCTTTGGATGATCTCCCTGGAAGAATTGACCGTGCCATGCAGTGGGACAATTTTTTCATTCCAATGCGTGCAATCAATACTCCCAAGCATGCCGACAAAGCCGTGTTTAGCGGCATGCCTTGCCTGCAACTGCTGGATGTCGCTCGCTGTTGACTTGCGTAAATATCTTTTATGATAAATTTGAATAATAGCTTTTGAAAATTTATAAACACGGGACCTGATGCTCCGAGCTGACATCTTCAAGTATTCGTCGAACATATCGGATGCCGT